CTCTTTCTTTTTTGTTAAGTCTTTAAGCACAGTTTTGACAGTAGTTTTCCTGTTAGTCTTGATTTTTGTTTCTGCAGATTTTGTGTTTTGGTGATCGGCGGAAAGAGTGGAACTTAACATTTTAGATTTTATATTCATTTTATTCTATTAATAACTCTAATAAACTAATAAAAATATGCTATAGTTACTAAGTTATATTTAACTTTATATTAAATCTATTAAAGCCTTATGTATTTTATACTTATAACTAACTAAATATTATTTTAATCTAAATTAGTATTTATAATTAGAGTTAATTATTAAACCACTATATGCTTATAAGGTTTATTTAAACTTTAATACTTATTTTTCTAATATTTTCTTTATTATTCTTTATTAATTGCAAATCAGAACTAATAGAACTCTCCAGATTTCTAATTCAAATAGCTTAGTATAATATACATATCTTAGTATTTTTATTCTTTAATGTCTTTAGCAACCTAGTTGATTATATACTTCTTTACATATCTTGTCATCTAATTTATTTGTTTATTTCTTTTAAAGATGTTTTATAAGCTTCTATTGGTTCAATAGTATTATTGAAAGTTTGTGCTATCTTCTTATTTAGGATTTTCAAGTAAGCTTCTGACTCTTTGGTTTCTTTACTTTCTGTGCTCAGTAGTCTTATTATAAGTTTGTACTGAAATCTTTACAATAGCTGTTATTAACATTTCTCTATATATATGTAATATTATATTTTATATAGATGTCTAAAATTTTATTTGAAATAATATAATTAAAGATTATAAATATATTAATTCAACTGATTAATAGAGTTAGTTATTATAATACAGATATAACTTTCAATATTCATTATTTATAGAATTTGAACTTTAGACCTACTATTTAAAAATTAACAATTTGTTTACTTTACTAAGTCATTATATTTCCAATTAATAATATTAATTTATCAAAGATATTATAATTTTTTAAAATTTTTTTTCTTAAAAAAAAAAATTAATTATATAAAAAAACAAAAATATAATAAAACAAACTAAACCTTATTATATCTATAATTTGATTTTTCTTATTTAATAATATTTTTAAGTAATAAACAATAAACTTTAATTTTTAATTTAAATTGTTTTTTCTTATATTTATCCTAGAACTTTCAAATACTTTAATTTGAAATCTTTTATTTAAAGTATTTATATAAAATTAAGTCAATAGAAATTTAATAAATTTTTTTTAAGTAAATTTTTTAAGACTTTAAACAAAAATAACTTAATTAAAACTTTATTAAATTTAATAAAACCTTTTAAAATAAATACTAAAAGTTTGTAGAATTTATTTTTTTTAAAAAAATTATTAAGTTTGATTAAGTTTTTATTAAATAATTGTTGTTTAAAGTTTCAAAAAAATTTTAATAAAAACAATTTGCTTAATTTTTATTAACTTATTTCTATATATTATTTAAAACAAATAATAATTTTATCTAAAAAAATTAAGAATAATATTATATATAATTTATAATATGAAAAAAATTAATTAATTAATGAGTCATTAAAATTATAATGAGCTTAGAGTTGATATTTTACTCGAAAAATCAATTTTTTATAACTGCTATTTCATTAAAGTTATTTGAAAATATTTCAAAATTTTATATTTGCAGTATACAAAAAATTTATCAATTTTTTTTTTTAATAAAAAAAAAAGAACAAAGTAATGTTTATAATACAAAAAGTTTATCAAAAAAATATCAATTAACTAACAAGTTATTAATGACATAATGATTTTTAAAGCTGATGTCTTATTTAAGAAAATCAATTTTTTACAACTGCTGTTTCATCAAAATCATCTAAGAACATTCAGGATTTTACAATTGCAACACACTAAAAAATTATCAATTTTTCTTTTTTTTAAAAAAAATTCAATAACTATTCATAATACAAAAAGTTTATCAAAAAAATATCAATTGACCAATGAGTTGTTAGGACCATGATGACCCTAAAGCCAGTGTCCTATTCAAGAAGGTCAATCAAAAAAGAATGTAATTTTTTTTTATAAAAAAATCAAATTGAAAGTATTTATATTTTTCAGATTTGTAACATGGTGTTATGGAAAAATGTTGTAATAAATAGAGATAATCTTTTTTTTCGTAATGTCTTTCATAGTAAATTGTTATGCAATTAGTTACTTCGCACATATCTTGTTAGAGTTAAAAGCTATGACTACAGCTGTGTAGTTAATTTTCTAACTTATTTGAGTCTAATAAAAAACCTATATAAGGGGTTATTGATACGTAGCAGATTTTCTTTTTGCTTTTGATTGTTATCGAATAATCAATCTTGTTCGACTCTAATAAAAAAGCACTTTTTTTTTTCTTTCTTTCGTTAGTATTGAATACCTTAATGGTTACGGCCAATGGCTAAATTAGCATCGAGGTATAAAAGTTTTTTCCTTGGACGTAACAGTGGTTAACATTTATGAGAAAATTATCAATCAATCAATCAATCATTTTTACACATGAATGAGTATTTACCACATACTATAGCTTATATTTATTGCATGTAATTAAAAAAGAATTACTATTGTATCGGCAGTTATTTCATTGTGACGTTTAATATTACGTAATTTTTTCGGCGTATCTACTTTCGAAATAAGTTAAATTTGAAACATATATATTATGTATGTATTTAGGGTAGCTGAAACGTAATCGTCTTAAACCAGGAACGTAGTATGATCACTAGACTCAAGTTAAAGATTCAAGTGCAGTGACGAATTTTCCAGTATTGGCAACCTACTTCAAAGTATCGTTCATCTTGTCAATTGATTAAACTTGAGATATACGTATGAGCGAAATAATATGATTAAATAAGATTTAATCCAATCATATGCAAGATTTTAGCGTATGAAATACGCATTACCTATAAGAGATCCTTTGAGTAGTGATGGATAACTTGGATAGAGGTAAACAATCTGTGGGTTTTTACGTAAGACACCAGATATAAAATGATGGAGTATTTTGCAGTATAGGGTGATTTCTTTAATAAAATATTAATTAGGTCATCAGCATATATGTGTAGAAAATGAATGGACGAGCAAGACAAACTTCTAGTAAAGTTATGAACTATTTCGAGGACTTGCTAGCACCAAATGGTGTAGCATATGCTTTGGCTATTTGTTTAAAAGTAGCAATAGTAAATTCTTAGACCGTTTAAATGAAGAATATATATACAGTAAATGAAATGTAAAAAGAAAGCTACTCTAGAATCAGAAAATTTTGACAAATATTGAATGCAACTAGCACTCAGAATGAATGATCTGGTTTTAGGCTGACCTGACCAGTTTGATCATTTGACCAGACCAATTTGACCATTTGACCGGTCTGGTTAAAGAATTTGTACTTGTCAAATCGGTCAAATAGCATTTTTGAATATAATTTATTATATAATAAATAAATATATTTATACGTATTATATTTATATAAATAACTTGACCAATTTGACCAATTTGACCAGTTTTGACCAATTTACCTAACAAATTTTTACTTGACCACTGATTTGCCCAACACTGGTTGTAATGTATTTATTATACCTATATAATAAAATATATTATAACATACTAGTTTGGCATTTCATCCATTTTTAAAATAGTGATAAACTGAATTTGTAAGAATAAAGGTTAAAGGTTAGGACAAAGCATAATTTATATATGGAACAATTTGGCGGAAATTTTTATTAACACTCCCAAGGGTGGTTTCGACATAGAAAGGGTGCACCAAATGCATGAATCACCATTTAACAATGTTCGATTTATAATTACTCAAATTTATATTATATATATACATGCTATATACTAATAGTGATACAGTAAGATCTGTCTTGTTTATAACAAATCGATTTTTTTTTAAGTCTGATTATTATTTATCGTACAACGTGGACCAAATACTTCCATGGGCACACTCACCGGGTACTACGTATACTAAAGTGTTTTATAAGAAAATTTTTTTACATACATAGGATATACCCGCCGGGTATTTTACATTCAACATAATTTTTTTTTGTAAGGGGTAATTTGAGGTGGGGGCGCTGTACGGTAATAATTCTTTATACTAATGCTAGAAATCCTTTTTCAGCAGTCTGGCGAACATTCCAACATTTATCTTACAAATACAACCTAAAAATTTAACCTAAAAATATATTTATATATGCAACTTTAATTAATAGCTTAAAAGAAGTTGGCAATAGTAATTTTTCGTTATTTATTATCCGGTCTTCCGAGCTGTCCACTGAAAATACCAGAATATATAATTATTATAGAGTAGTGCTACTATTGCTGCAAGATGAAATCTATATTGTTATATTTTACTCTTTTTATAACTGCAATATTTGAGGTTTCAACTAAATTTGTTATCACGTTGCGTTTGGTTTAAAGTTTTGGTGCGACAGAATATTTTAGGATTCAAAGTAATAAGATTTCATGGGGCATCACTATCGAAATTGGATACGTATGTATGTAAGTTTGCAGGGTACATTTTGTTTTATTATGAAATAAAAGCAAAGCTGCATGAAATATTGGAACTGAATGAATGAAAATTCAAAATTGTATAAATTGAATTTGGGCAGCCCTTGTTGTCTAAATCTGGGACACAGAATATTGGTAACCAATTATATTATATGAAAATCGGATTCATTGATTGGTCGGCAAAACCATCTTGTCTACATTTTAACAGCTTCTAAGTCTCTCAGGGGTACCAGCAACTTGAAAAATAGGACCCCCTGTTGCGTTCGCACAATTTTCATAACTAATATTCCAAAGATGCAACAGTCACCTCTCCAGCACGAAAACCCACAAACCAACACGATTTCGTTGGAAGTTAATTCTACACAAAACGTCCAAACACCTCTAACTCCACAGACACGCGATCCGACTTACCCTGTAAATGCTACGTCTTCTCAACTTAATGCCCAACTTAGCGCTCAGCGGTCTCCGTTCGTTGTAGAACTTACCGCTTGCGTGCCACCAGCTGGAGCTTCAACTGCTGCATCGGAAGCTGTTGCAACACCAGTGACAAAGAATGCACTAAACATATCAACATCTGTATCGCAGAACATTAAAGCTCCAGACATTTTTTCTCACCAAGCAACTTTTCCTATCCAGCAGACGTCTATCAAACTTCCTAATCCTACCCAACCGGTGTCTGTAGTAGCTATTTCTGCTCTTTTAGAACCTGATCAGAGGACTGAAGAGCTTTTGGGTGCCTTGTCTATCGAACAGCTAACGTCAATTGAAAATACCGTAAAACGTGTAAAGAAAAAAAAAACTAAAGAATTAAAAAAACATAATAATGATAGCACCGTTAACAGCGGTCTTAGCAATAATCTAGCTACTCATGCACGAGTCGAGCATTCGGTACCGAACACGATCACAACTCCAATGTTAGCACCAAATCCTCTGCCTTCACCTGTTAACCCTAGTACCACCTTATCTTTTGTTTCATCAAATGTCAATAACAGAGTTCAGGTACAAGATCAACAAATTCATCAACAGCCTAATCCCGACCACCAACAGAATCGTACACAGCAACGGCCAGTGCAACAAACACAAAATCATTCAAGCCAACCGCAGCAAACAATATCACAAACTATCTCAAAGGAACAAATGTCAGAGATATCTACTCGACTCCGACGATCTGATGTTCCTATCACTAACCCAAATCCAAACCATGCTCTTCCAGCAACGGATCCAGTTATCGAAGAATTTGAAGGCGTGCAATGGGTTGTTTTTACATATTCGGTTAAAGGCAACAACAAAGAATACCGTATACGGATTGATGTCGATAAGGTTAACCTTGATGAGGTCGATGAACAGTTTAGGAATGATAATTGTTTATATCCAAGAGCTAATTGTACAGAGGACAAGTACCAAGGTAATAGGTGGTCATATGAAAATGAATGTAATGCTTTAGGATGGAAATTGGCTTGGCTTAACCAAGAAGAGATTAGTGGTCGAAGAGGACTACTTCAAAGAGCAGTAGATAGCTTTCGAAATCGTGATCCTTCATTACGTTCTCGGAGAGTTGTTCGGAATGAAAAGATTATGAATGGAACACTACGTAAGAGAGTCACTAGGGATAATGACTCTTGTGATGCTTCATCTGAAATTTCTGCCAAACGACCCCGCGGTGCGAGTAAACAGTTGACAGTAGAATATACAGTGAAAGAAGAAACTACCAAAATTCGTATACGTGCTGACGTTGAATGTGTAAATTTATCTGAAATATCTGATGATTTTAAAAAAAATAACTGTGTATATCCTAAAGCTGCAGTTGCAAAGGCAAACTATCAAGGAACAAACTGGGAACATGAGTCAGCATACAATGAATTAGGCTGGAAATTGGTATTATTTTTGGGTTTAAAGTAACAATTTATATTAAGTCATATTTGAAGCGAATATCTGACCTTGTTTTATTATAGGCTCACCTGAATTCCACGAAACTTGCTGGGAACATATTACTTATTCAAAAAGCAATAGACACGTACTACACAAAATATGCTTCCGAATCTAAACCTCGTCGAGGAAGATATTCGCATACCCTTTCATCTAAATTCTTTGAGAATCATCCTCGTGAAGTGAGTTCGGATACCACTACGTGTGCAGCGACATCATTACCAATGAAAGAAACTAGTCATCAAACAATGTCTGTTATTCCATCTGATACCATGGTCGTACTAACGCCTTCCGATTCTAAATCAGCAGTGATACCAATGGGAAAAACAGAGGACTTAAATATTATTGCAAAAGGTAATCCATTGGAAACTAGCAAAGAGTAGATTGTTATAATATTATTGCCACCAGCCACTATCCTATAATATTTCAAAGAATAGTAGCATATAGAATTTGATGGGACATATATATATGTATAGTGAGAATTGCGTATTACTAGATTGAAACTTAAAAAGGTCGTAAAACGTTAAAAGCGAATTTTCCAATATAATAACGGTTCGGGATTGTTGAGGTTAGGAAATAAATTTTGTAGTACAACGCGATCTCGCCAATTTTGCCATAATATATTATTTTTTATTTTTATTACATTTTTTTTTCACAGATATGTAGAGTTAGGATCTCCACTTTCTTTTTTTATTTGTACAATTGCTAGTGGGTATATATAGGTTCGGCTGGGGTTCTATTCAAGAGAAATTCTATACACTAAATAAATTTAATAAACAACTATAGTTTTAGTTTTAATTTACAGTATTGAAGTTTTAGTTTTATTTACTATATCTTTTGATTTTCTGACTACAATACCAGCGTTTTAAGTAAATTTGTCATTTGGATTAAATAATCAAATGTTATTGTAATTTATTGTACAACATACAATCTAACCTCTCTAAATGCACGCATTTATAGTGTTCTATATGGACCGGTTCCAGAATCTTCTAGTATCGTTCCAAAAATCAATTAACCAAACCAAGCCCACAAAAAATGTAGCTTACATCATAAATTCATAAATTTCTCACATGATAACATACTTCCGTATTCGTAGTATCACCTATAAAAAAAAATATAGCTTATGTCATAGATAAGGTCCAAAAGCATGCCCTATAATTATTAAAAAATTTATTTCTGAAAATAAAATCTTTGAAAAATCAATAATTAAAAAAATTGGTTTAAGATTAATAATTAAAAAAATTTCTTATTAACACTAAGATATTTTTATAGTAATCTACGCATATATTTGCTTAACGTTAATTTATAAGTTTGATTTCATTTTGTTATCTCTAGAGTACTTAAACACGATTTGTTATATTAGTTTAATATTAAAGTTAGAGGTTATGCTAAATAGTTATATCAAAATAATCTAATACATATTTTTCTAATTAGTCTCTCTACTGCTATTTTCTAATTTTAAATATATTTTTTGTTTTTAAATTAGGAATGTGATCTAAATAGCAGAGCCGATTACTTATAACACTGGTCAAATTTGCAGATCGGTTAGCCAAGTTCAGAGTTTTTTGATCCCGACTTTGGCAAATTTAGCCAGAATTATAAGTAATCAATTAAAATTAATCCTTATAATCAGGCCTATCGAATAATTGTTGTAAAAGCAATTATTGCGTTTTGCAAATTGCATTAAAAAAAAGAGTAATCATTAATTTCCGATTTCTTATTTCTTCAACAATTTTTTGATTTTAGATTAGACAAAATTTGAATATTTATTATTTTGTAAAAATTTTATTTTTAGAGAAATATTTGCAGAAATAGGAGCTGCGCATTAAAATATTCAATCAAATTTTACAAATGATAAATGCGCGAATTTTGTTTAACCTAAAAGTCAAATCAATAATCGGAAATTAATGGTTACCACTATAATTGCAATTATTTAAGGATAGAGTATACTATTCTGAAATCATATATAAACTTCATAGTATATTTTAAAGAGAAATTATAGGCATCTCTCACAGGATATAAAGTAATTTGACGGTTAACTTTATCGGCACGTAGCTTGTCGTCACATGCTCAAACTCACCTGATTTTTATACAGTTCGATTCTTCTCGATGAGTAGAATCGAACGGTATAAAAATCAGGTGATTTGGATCACGGGGTCGCGAAATATCTCGATTCGTATAAAATATATTTTTTTTAAAAAAAATTGGATTATAGGGTAATTGACGAATTGGGAATATCTCGTGACCCCCGTGATTCAAATCAGAAGATTTTATGCAATTCGATTCCTCTTAGTGAGAGAAGATATCTAAATATATTTTTATTATATAATTCTATAATTATATAATAAAAAATAAAGTACCTTATAATATTGCAATCTGAATCAAACAATTTTTATGCTACTCAATTTCTTCTATAAATGCACTATAAAGCCTGGTCCCAAGCTGGGATCATAGTGTTAAGTGCACAACCTCTATATTCTGCCCTCCGTAAATGCATTATCACGTGATCGCAAATCGTCTCGACCAATGAAATTTCGAACAGCATGCAATGTAGTTAACGATTGTTCATGTAAATTTTATCCAATACAATATAGAATCAAATATACTGTTTGTCTTTCACAGCCGAATATCAAATTGGATCAAAAAACCAGAAAGATAACTCTAATTTAACAAGTAGCATGATGCGTAACAGTAATATACAGTTGTATCGCATTTAGATAAAGAGAATGTGGATACTAAATCAGGCATAGATCGAAAGTATAATAATAAAATTAGAACAATTGGTAATTGAAAATGTAATTGAGACCTCTAGGGTCGATAGCATAGTGGTTATACTCTGAGGTCACAAATCGCAAAGTTGCTGGTTCAAAGCCTAGTGATGGCAATTGTAGAGATGTATTTCTAAAAATAGAGAACTACAACATTATGGCTTCAGGGACTTGGGATGTTATTAGACAGACTTATTTCTAGAAAAAGCATGTGACTTGCAATTGAAAGTCATCTAGTGATGAATATGAGTTAGATTTGATTTGAAATAACTGAAATATGAGACATAATGTGAGATTAAAAGTCTAATAATAAGAGATATTATATGAACTTATAGTGATAGTTGGTTCTTGACAAAGCTTAATAAAGCTTTCTGATTCTAGCAGAGGTCAGTATGACAAATTACTCTTAGAAAGTTTAAAAATACAGATTAAATAATTAAGATCTAGTGATCAAAATATTAAGAACATTAGTTTGAAAATATAGGACATAAAAATAACTTTGACAAAATCATTAAAGAAGAAAAAAAAAAATGTAATTGAAATAAAACATACAAAATTAGTTTATTTAAATATGTTATTAGAAATTATACAATTTATTTAATTATTTATAAGGATCATTAAATAAACTTCAATATATATTAGTTTTTATAAAGGCAGAATCAAGTAAAAAAAATTTTTTTTGACTTAAATTAAATTTATTTCTATTTAAAAAAAAAATAAAAAAATAAAAAGAAAACTCAGTTATAAATATTTATCTAAACTAAGTAATCTGTCATTATATAAAAAGTGTAATTATAAAGAGAAGTTCATAGATTCTATTATTTTTTTTAATACTAATCAGAAAGATATTTGTAAGTTTATTATTAATATAAGGATATTGATATAGCAAGTCTAAAAAAAGACCTAGTTCTTATAAATTATAGAACTATATAAATCTGAATTAAATCTAGGTCATAATCTTTTTTAATTAACTTTTTTAAAAGAAATAATTTAATAAAAAAAAAATTTTTTTCTAATAGTATCTTAGTAATTTCTAAATTTCAATAAATAAAGCATTTATATACTTTTAAATAAGAAAAAATCCTTTTATATAATATCTTTAGTAATGCCAAAAAGAATAATCCTAACAAACATTTAGAAATTTAAATTTTGTGTCTATGCTTGTAACAATAAAAAACCTTATTTAGAATATATAAAGTAAATTAAAGACAAGTGTGAGGTTAAAATTAATAAATCTACAATTACCTAAATTTTATAAACTAAAGACTATCAACTTTTAAATAAAATCACAAATCCAGACACTAAGCATTATAGAACCATTATTGTACTAGAGCTTAAGCTAATATTTAAGAAATTTAATCTAATCTATTAAAATCATACTATTCTAAGTGATGCTATGATAATCAAAAAAACAAAATTAATAACAAATAAACTTAGAGTCTCTGAAGGTACATGATATTTTTTTTCTAAATAGCTTCAAAAATTTAAAGAACAAAATAAGATCCTTCAAATAAAGTTTTATATAGAAATAGAATCTGTTAATAGAAATGTTATTACCAAATCTTTATTATTATTATGCAATAAATATACTAAATATCCTCTTGACTGAATCTATAATATAGACAAAACTGAACTTTTTTACTAGTAGTTTTTTTTTATAGTATTTTCTTTTAATAAATTTTTTTTGAAAAATTTTATTTGCATACTATATGTAGATGCACTGATACTGTTATTTCTCAAAATTTTTATTAATAAAACCACTTTTTGGGATCTAAAAAAATTATTCCTTACAAAATTTTAGTATAAGTTATGATTTTTTCTAAGCTTTAAAGTTAACTCTACCTTAATATTAAGATTAAATTTTATTAATAAAAATATAATTAAAAAAATATACAAATTATTAATTAATATAATATACATATACAATATATAAACTAAAAATTTTTTCTTTTTTTTTTATCTTTTTTTTAAAAAAAAATTACAGATTAAAACTAAATTAAATTTTAGCTATGCAAAGAATTGCAGAGTGCAAAAAAAGATAAAATATGTTTTTTTGTAGTATTATGTTTAAATGCTAATAGATCTTACAAGTTAGCTCTTTTTATAATTAATAAATATGCCAGATCTTGATGTTTTAAAAATATGAAAATTAATAAACTACTTATAATATATAGAAACAATACTTAAAATTAGATGCTTATAGTTCTGTTTTAAAAATAGATTTGATTATCAAATATTACAAAATATAAGAATTAATCTGTTTTTTTATTTATAGACAATTGCTTTAGTTATAAGTTAGATAGGTTAACTCTTTACTGCATAGATGTTTATTTTTTATCTAAATATATAACTTCAAGGTTATAACTAATGGACTTAGAAATAATTATAACTTTTAAAAAAGCCTATTATCATTACCACCTCTGATAAATTATTATTATTATATTTTTTTTTATTGTTTTACTCATAATTCACTTTATCATTATTTTAATTATTGTTCAATTTATTACAATTCTCTATTATGGTATTTCTGTTTTACTAATAGTCTATTCAATTATATACATATTTTCACATACAAAAATCATAACAAATATATTAGAAAAATAGCTTAAAAAAGT